TGCTTTTTGGACAACCGCACCCTATTATTTGCATTCACCTCCTCAACTACACCCTACAATTGGTAGATTTTGTATAATTTGAGGAAAATTGAAAAAATACTTGTTTTTTGAGGTCTTTTTGAAGTAGTTGGCATCGTGAAGAAATTCTTCAAAATTGTCTTCACTTTGTACTACTTTAATATAGACTTTTGCAATATTTTACAAATTTTGTCCATATTTTTGAGTTTTTGCTGAAATATATTTTGAGCTATAGCAACATTTGTAGTCATTCAATTACTATTCCTCCATACTTTATTGTTTATACAGTATTTTTTTGTTTTTCGGCATTATTATTATATTATCTATTGTGTTGTCTCCCCTCTTCACCTTACATAATGTCGATAACTCCTCTCACACGCTTCAATAGAGCCACTGACATTGTCGTCAAAAGTGTGGAATTCTTTGAAAAAATTCCAGAATCCCAGTATTCAACATACAACCTCGAAATTCGCAATACAGAAATTCGAGAGTTATGGGATAAAGTTCAGTGCACCTATGAGGAGTGCAAAACATACCTTGCGACATCTCCGAATGCACAGGTTGATATAATTGATGTCGTCGAAGAAAAATATAATACTGCATTTATTGCGTATTCTTGGTGTCTATCCACCATAAATCGGCATCTCAATCACCTTCAAAGTAATTGTTCCCCTGCTATAGCTCCACCAGTTACACAATCTCCACCAGTTTCACAATCTCCACAAAATATGTCACCTGTCACCTCCACTCCTATAGTTGTTTGTGAATTGCAAAATTCTTCCACCATCAATAGCTACACCAATCCACCTGTCGATAAGCATAGTCTCGTTGTTCCCCCTATCGACATTGAAGTTTTTGCTGGCGATTTTATATCTTGGCCCACCTTTCGGGATCTGTTCACCACCTTATTTGTAAACAATTCACAAATTTCGGACATTGAACGTCTCTGCCATTTAATACAGAAGACCACCGGTGAAGCTCGTGAAATCATTTCCAGATTTTCCCCTCACCAATTCTAGTTTCCCTTTAGCGTGGAAAGCTTTGTCCGATACGTATAACAATAAACGTATCGTCGTAAACTCTCACCTCAAATGCTTGTTTGAACTCCCCTCCATCGAAGCTGAAACGGTTTCTGGTCTTAAAACTATCCAACGAGGGATAAATAGTTGCCTTGCTGCAATGTCAGTTTATGACGTCATCACGGATCATTGGGATCCGATTGTTGTTTACATTTGTTTGCAGCGTTTGCCAAAAATTACTTTGACTCTGTGGGAGCAAAGTATAAAAAATAAATCGTCGTTGTCCTCTTGGGTAGAATTAGACGCTTTCCTCACGGAGAGGATACAAACATTGATTTGTCTAGAACACGTCCTCCCCACCAAAAATAAGTTGTTGTTGCCAAAGAAAATGCATTCCCCCTCACCTAGTAATATCGCTACACCTCATTCCCCCAATAAATTGTTGTCGGCACATCATTCTAAATGTGTTACCCCACCTCGAGTTATAAATTCACCCTCCAAACCTTCTTGTACCATTTGTCCTGACCAGAGCCACCATCTTCGACTCTGCCCCCAGTTTCTAAAACTTTCGTTTGAGGACAAATTCTCGATCGTTAAGAAAAATAAATGTTGTGTAAATTGTTTGTCTCGTGGACATGTAGTCAATACGTGCACTAGTAAACATAGTTGCACTACATGCAAGCAAAGGCACCACAGCCTTCTTCACCGGTCACCAATCAATAAAGTTGTTACTCCCTCCAATTCACCTCCGGCATTTACAAAGGTCAAAAGTCGAGGAAAGACCTTGTTGTCCCGTTCATCGGACAAGCCACCGACTTTTACAAATGTTAATAGTCGAGTATCTAATTGTACTTCGTCGCACCCTTCTTCGAATAAAAACGTAGTTAAACCACCCATACCTAACCCCTCCCAAGATACCAATGTTCTCTTAGGAACAGCAGTAGTAAATATAGTTCATAATGGAAAAACACACCCTGTTCGTGCCATTATTGATCCTTCTTCCAAGGTATCTGTTGTAAGCAAAAAACTTAAAAATGCACTTGGCATTTCTGGTAATTCGAAGAAAGAATCCAACCATGCTACACCAAGAGAAATGTGTTCTCTTAAGTTGTCTTCCCCCAAAAATTCGTCTAAAATTGTTGACGCAAAGGCATTTGTTCGGCCTAATGTCAAGGGGAAATTGTTTTCACATCCTCCTATTTCAACTTTGAAATCTAAAATTCCTTTAGATTTAGCTGACACCTTTGACGGCAGCCCAATAGATTTGCTACTTGGTGCTGATCTTTACCCCCAAATACTGGAAGCCGAACCACCAAAATTAGTTTTAAATTCGTTGTTGGCCCAAAAGTCTATATTCGGGTATATACTGACCGGTTCAGTTCCAGCCACCTAATCTCTCACCTATAATAGAAATCGATCACCTTATCGTTTGAATATCGTTTGTATACTTGAGTCACCCATTTACTAAACTTGTGTCGTTTACTAAATTTGTAACATGAAGCTCACTTGAAATCTGAATTTACGTTCATAAATAGCTTTTACTAACCCATATTCCAATTTAATTGTTAATTGCTACGTTGTCGGTCGTAGCAAGGGGGCCGGAATGTATAAGTTTGATACGTTCTGACTCAACTTCCCGAGCTCAGTCAATTACGTCTGCTGATTGACACCACGGGCATCTCCTCTGCAAGTTCCCTCAGCGGAGACCGTAGGGTGCAGATGCCACCGAGCGGTGGTTGTTGCTGGTTTGCTCTCCTTGCTCGATACTTTTCTCCCATTGGAATATGTAAATGTAGTAGTAAACGACAACCGATCCTCAGCGATCACCGCAATCCTCTGTGATTGCACGAACCACAGCGTTCACTTGTTTTTTAACCTCCTTAGAGTTAACTGGTCGTTTAACCTCCTTAGAGTTAACTTGTCGTCTAATAACGTCTACGTCGTTATTAACAGGTCTCAGCGCCGCCACCATAAATTACAAGAGGTAATTTATTTGTTGTATTAAGGAAAGAATACCACCAAATAAACCAAGATATTTAGAATAATTTAACTAATACTTTCTTGTGTTTTATTTCTTTGAACCTTTCTTTTCTTTTCCATACACCATTAACTGCTTGGGAGTTCTCTTGTTGTCGTTTGCACCCCGCTCCCAAGAGTTAATTACTTGATCACCCCGCACCCCCAACCACCACAAAACACCACCAACACGGCGAGGAGTAGAGCAAACCCCTCGCCTAAACAGCTCTTATTAGTGAAATTACTGACGGCTTTCCCTTTAATTCAATAATGGACACAAATAATAAAGGTATATTTTATAATACCACACAAAACACCACCAACACGGCGAGGAGTAGAGCAAACCCCTTATCGAAAACAATGTTTATGCAATAATAAAATATTTCAGAAAAACTAATTATATGTGATGATAAGCTCAGTGGAACTATTTTTTGATGATAAAAATTTTGTTCAAGGTGTGTCATTTATTAGAAGGCATTTAAGAGATAAATCTATTAGAACTACCATCAGTTCTGTCTGGTAGTAACTTTTTGGATATTTTTTGGATAGAGAAATTCATTCACCAATCAGATGAATTTCGGTAATTTTCAAATTTGTCAGAAACGAATTTTGGAATAGAGGCTATGGAGGCTACACCAAATATACCAAAATACACCCAATTAGAGATTTTTGTTATGAACCCTTTATTTGATGACTTTTTCTTTTTGGCTGAAAAATAGATTTCGTGCTCAGAATAAAATTTCGTGCTTTTTCAGGAATCGATTTCAGAGTAACAGGAACATGTATTAGAATCCTTTCTTAGACTCTTTTTTTAATTTTCATCACAAGAAAATAAGTTACAAACAAAAAATTAAAAAGGCGAAATGACATTTTATAGCAATTGCTACTAAAAATCATATTTATGGTGTTTAACCTCGATTTAGCGTTAGTTACCATCACTATATAAAGAAGGGTTAATAGCTTCTAGAGAGAATATTCCTAATAAAAAACTAATGCAACTGATGTGGATCAATGAGAGATTCAATTCTCTTATTGTTCTTCCTATTATTTCTAAACACATTATTTATGTGCAGACATAACATATGACATACTTCGTTCTTTCACTTTCTAACAAAATACCAAATTACATACACTCAGGTTGGGCTAGGGTCTTGAAGATTCCGAACAAGTCTCGTTTCTTATATCGACGATTCCGAACCATAGTATGCTAAGTCGACTTAGCATGTTTTAAAGTTCTTTACGTTTTTAGATACTACGGTCCTTAATTTAAATTCTCTGAAATTTTGATAATCATCGGCCAATTCAAACCAAAGTTATAAGCTAGATAAATAATGAAATAAATCGAAGAGGCTTTTTTAAAGTCTTATTTTATTAAAAAAAATTATTGTTCGAAATACTAGATTCATATTTCCTTTCCTATACGTTAATTTCTTATAATAACTTTTGAACTCCACCAGCAAGTGGTGTCACATTTGTACCATTCGCATATAGTTTCATAATATCAGTAATTGAACTATTCGTACCTAACACTAAAGCAGCAATGCCACACAAAAATATGACAATATTTTTCCATACAATCCAGTTGTATGCACCGAATCCAGTTTCCCAATGTGTGACCATTTCGATTAAGACCTATCAACAACAAAAAGTATTAATATATACCTTTGTATTGCTTTTAAAAGAGAATCGGTTCTTTAACTTACAGGAAAGATGAGACCAAGTGTAGAGAAGCATAAGGCGCCAATTAGGCCCATAAATGGAGCTATTATAGGTACAGATGCAGCCAAAACAACAGCAGCGGTAACCAAAATAGTCCTGGAAAAAATTAGATTAAAAAAATGCAAATTTTCAAAATATACATATTTCTATTATAATCAGCCACAATTTTCAAAAGCAATATTGTATTTGAAGTTATCTCGATTTAGCATAGGGTTCAAATTCAAATTTTTACGTTAAATCGGGTACTCTTAGGAGCATTGTTAACTAAAAAAAAACATCATCCAGACGTGTGTCCCGATTATAACATTTATTCTGATTGATGAAATAAAATCCGATGGTATAACTACAATACCCTTCGTACTGAATTAAACTTACCTTATAATATAGTTAACTAGTAGAGGGCGCTTGGTACATTTTTCCTTTATACTACCCGATATAATATCCATACAAACATATAACTGAAGTCCAAACGTACAAAATATAGACAAAGCAGTCAATACCTTCACAGCTTGGCCAGGCCTAAAAAGTAACAACAACAAAAATATTCGTTAGTAGTTTATATGTAAAAATAAATGATTTCTATCGAACGTACCATTCATGGACCGGCAAATTTAAGGTAATACTTTCTTCGGTACCATCGCCATAACGCAAATACCCCATTATACCTAAAATCATGTAGATCAATGTAACACCAGACATGCCCTGACTGAGAACACCCCAAATGCCCAAAAAATTACGTGGATTCTCCATATTATTCTCCAGAGGCATAATTACACCAATTGCCTCAATGGCGAAAATGGTAATGGAAAAGAATTCCGGCAGTGTTGACATTTGGAAGTAGTTTCTGGTTTCGATTGAGGGTAGATCTTGCACCAAATAATATAGAGTAATGCCCAAACCCAAGCCCATTAAAAAATTAGCAATCATGCCGACGAGCGCCAAATATTTCAAGTTTGGGATCCATGAGAGCAAAATAAATGGTATGAGCAAACATAAGATAAGTACCCGTAGAGAAACCTCAGTTCCGGTCCAGTGATTTAAGACCTATTAGATAAGTAGAAAATTCTTTATAAAAAAGCTGTTAAAATAAGTTCCGGGGAATTATAGTTACCTGTTCGAAATTTTTGGCCACAATTACTGTATATACCGAACATATACCAAAGTATGTTAGGAATAATCCAAACAAAACGAAAAATTTGGCAACTGGTGCAAAACCACGACACCATTTTGGACCATTTTGAAATGAAACTTCAGCAATTTCGGCAAAACTCATTCGTGATCGTCGAGTTTTGTAATACAGCTTATGACCACATTTCACCTGAAAGAAGTTTACATTTATTGACAGTTTAAAAACCATAAAGGCAATTACAAACATAAAGGTGGCATTCTTAAATTTATGTCTTATTTGTCCCAAAAGGCGTGATCATTATTTTGCCGGCGACACTACGAGAGCAGTTCGGAAAGTTCTTAGCCTAGCACAAAAAGCTCGGTATAAACAGAAAAAAGTTAAGTGTTTTGAAAACTTCCATCTCTGTTATGAACACATGTTAAATTTTGTTTGGATCTAGCAACATCTTCATATAGTAACAGGTGTTCCAAAAAGACTCATCTGCAATTTTTTTACAATGAAGGCACTCATTTCTAATTTTTTAAAACCTGTTTCTATTTGAAGTATTTGCCAGATTGAAACAAAATTTAGCATGTGTTCATAACAGGGATGGAAATTTCCAAAACACGTGCATGAATCGAGTTTCCTTGAGTGTTTTTTTTTTTTTTGTCCTTAATTTATTGAACCTGACTACAATTATTTTATACAAATCTGAATTTAAAATTCAAAGTTTTAAAATAATACAATTTTAATTGTTTTTAATCACAAAATTAAAAAACCACGAAAATATTTCATTACTGGAATGAAATGATTTCATTCCATTAATGATGAAGTTTCATTTGATTAATGTGGATGTTGTACTGCAATAATGAAAGTTTGTAATTTTATTAATGTATAAGTTTCATAGCATTCATGAATGTTTTCATTAATGAAATATCAAGAAGTTTCAATGCATTAATGAACCATTTCGTTAATTTTACATAAATGAAGCTCAATGAAACTTTTTACATTAATTCAATGAAGCTCTACATTGGTTTAAAATCCATGACAAATTTCATATATTAAACGTAAGATTTCATTAATGTTATGAAGCTTTTACACTGAAAGAAAACTTGCTGAACTCACAGAGAAATATCTGGAAAAGAAATGTAACTCAGAAACTATTCGAAGAATTTTGCGTAAGCATGGTCTTCATGTTAGAGTTGCACTAAAAAAGCCATTCATAAATCCCAATAATCATTTGAAGTTCCGTGGACCCTAAGCACACAATTCCGACCGTAAAGCACGGAGGAGGCCTGTATGAGCGCTGCCGAAGTAGGAAATCTCGTTTTTATTGAAGGAATTATGGATAAGATTTATTATTTAAACATTCGAAAAGACAATTTGAAATGTATTGCTGACCGATGGGAATTGGGGACAACATTTCAATTATTGTACAATAACAAGAGGTAGGCTTACTTGACGAAATTAACAAAAAGTGTAGTCTACGAAAAAATTGTAATTTCAATATGAAAAAATTTTAATTTGTAAGTTTCTATTGCATACCTCAAGGTATATTAAGAAGATACCCGTATCACACCAGGTGATGGTAACATTAAATGTCGCAACAATTTTTTGTTTTTAAATTTGCCGTAAACATAAATATAATTCCAAACAGAAATAGGCAGGGACCGAAAATAACAGTTATTTTTTAAAATGCGAACAAAAAAATCTTCATGTTAGAGACATGGGACACCAATAGTGTCATATACCAATAGATTCGTACTGAGGAGCCCATTAAGGATATTGAGTGATCTTGAGAAAACACTCTCAGTTTCCATGTTAAGGATTATTTTTTAACGGAAAAAATAAACGTTGATTTTTAACTGTTAAAAATGATTTTTATTTTTTCCGTCAAAAATAAAAGTCTTTTTGCGATTTTTATTTTTTCCGTCAAAAATAAAAGTCTTTTTGGGACTTTTATTTTTTCCGTCAAAAATAACAGTCTTTTTGGGACTTTTATTTTTTCCGTCAAAAATAAAAGTCTTTTTGGGATTTTTATTTTTTCCGTCAGAAAATAAAAGTCTTTTTGGGATTTTTATTTTTTCCGTCAGGAAATAAAACTCTTTTTATGTAAAGAAGTTTATACAACTTGTAATCAGTTATAAAATTACAATTTATAAATCTCTGTCCTTATTACAATAAGTGTACACATAAGTAATCAAGATCAAAGGTAAAAAATATTTGTTATAAATTTTTAAAAAATAGTCTATTGTACCAAATCATGAATATAAATTAAAGAATCATTCCCCTGACTATTAGGTCAAAGGTTATATAACTGGTACCAAACTCTATATGTTTATTTACGTAAAAAAATTTTTATTTTCTGACGGAAAAAATAAAAATCACAAAAAGACTTTTATTATTGACGGAAAAAATAAAAGTCCCAAAAAGACTTTTATTTTTGACGGAAAAAATAAAAGTCCCAAAAAGACTGTTATTTTTGACGGAAAAAATAAAAATCATTTTTAACAGTTAAAAATCAACGTTTATTTTTTCCGTTAAAAAATAAATAATTAAAGTGGATTTTTTTTATTTAGGTCACATAATAACAGTTATTTTTTACCTGATTTGATATAAGTTATAACCGTTACGGTCCCTGGAAATAGGAAACATTTAGAAATAATTTTTTTAGGCTTATATAAGTATGTCTTGATTTAGATTAGGCGAGTTTACTTGCGGCAAGTAGGGGAGACTGGGGCACCTTCGGCACTTTTTTTTTAGAGCTCTATATCTCAGTACTTATTCAACATATATAAAAACTTTATGACTGATTATTGTCCTCTGACACTTAATTATAAAAAATAGTTCCAAAAAGATATAAAAAAATAGTATTAGTTAAAAAATTTTACAGTTTTGTAAAAAAAGTCAAATTCGCCGTATGTGCCCCAACCCGGGGTAGCTTCGGCATTTGATGGGGCACATTCGGCACCATAGTCATAGCCGGGTAATTGTCATCGCTATCAGTCTAGTTGAAATTCTGATCACCTAAAGGCTCTATTTGGTTTTAATACTCCACACAATGTTTGAATTATATGACTTTATTTTCTAGCGGCGGACGTTTACATCTCAAGTTCGCACACACCATCAGGAATAGGGATTTTCTATCGCATTTTCGTCAATACAAGCACGTTTTACTTTATATATGCAATTTCGAACCATATTAAAGGATTAGTTTTAAAGACAAACTCAAAAACATTTTAAGGAAATAATATTGCACAATCTGTATATGGCCGAATGTGCCCCACTTTAAAATGCCGAATGTACCCCGAATGTACATTTTATAGTTTTTTTCATTTTTTTCGATCAGTTTTGTAAAAACATTACATTTTTAAATATTTTTATAATAATACACATCGTAGTTAACAACTTTTTAATAATATTGTCTTAAAAATTTAAAAGGTTTTATACACGAAATTCTTACGAAATGGAATTGAAATATTACAGAAACATCTATAAAAATACAAAAACCCATGTATCTAAATAAGCTTATTAGCTAGAAATTTCAAACTTTGTATCAGTTATTTATTTCGATATTCGATACCTTTGTATCGAAACTAGTGGTGTACGGTGAGAGCTTCATATCAAAAACGCGATTGCCGAAGGTGCCCCGATGCCGAAGGTGCCCCAGTCTCCCCTATTTGTTTGTAGGAGAGAGGGGCAAGGGGTATAGAAATGAAAAAAATTGCTCGTACCGACAATTTTCTGGCAATTCGTTTTGTGTATTTCGTATTTGTTGACATTTTATATATATTTGAATGTGAAAAAACAACAAATAAAAAAATATTTTGGAAACCGAATTGCCTTGTATAGACGCATGGAGCAAGTTCAAAAGAGAACGATAAAAATTGCCGCAAGTAAACTCGCCTAATATAAATCAGGACTATATGTCCTGATCATCTACTATATGAAACCTATTCCCACAGATAGATAGTTTTTTCAATACAATGTATACAATGTTCCCAATTCGCCAATGCGGCTACCTTATATATCTACCTTGGCCTACCTTGAAAAATTGTACCATGGTTCATACCTTCTCTACACTCAACAAAATGTCATACATTATTGATATTCCTTTATAAATTGACATTTAATACAAACACAAAATAAGAGGCCAGACCTGAATCCTCGTATGTGGTTCTCCCTTAAGTCTTCAATTCCGTTGTTGAACACAAGTCCGAATTCAGAAAAGGGTACTCAAGCTGCCTAAATGTAACTTATTATTTATTGTCGATATTATCAGAGCTAGACAAAAACATAATATTTGTAGAAATACATGTATATATACAGTGGCGAGCAAAAGTGTACTCATGTTGCCCAAATTCCTCCCTACAACACTTACAAAATCTTGAATGAAATCCCAAAACCAAATTGTTTTAAAGAATATTATACCTTCTATCATAACGTTGCACCAATTCCACACAGCACCACCTCCCCCCCCCCCCTCATGTCATACAGTTTTGTTTTTGTTTTATTGGGATGGTTTATTTTATCTTGACTGTTAAATCTATTCTACCTGGGCATCTACGCCTTTGCAGCTAATTTTGGTGTTCTAGTATCTCTATTCCTAATTAAACGTTCAATATGTCGAGCATCTGCGTCAGTTAACATCTTGAGCGACCAGATGTGATACATTTCGGTAATATATTTTGTCAAAACTTAATAAAAAAAAATAACGGTAAATTATAAATTGACACTTGCGAAGTAACATAAACCAACACTAGCAAAGTGTACAGGCGCTTTTAGACTATAGCTTTTATCGTGATAAAGTGCATTGTGTCGATTAAATTGCTAAATCGAGCTGAATTCACCTCGATTTACCATACAAAATTAAATCCACTTAATATCTCGATTTGCTCTAAATCCTATGCTAAATCGAGATAATTTCAAATACAATCATGCTTTTGTCCCTTAAGTATGCTTTAAATTTGTTAACATTCAAAATTACTGCCTGACAAAAACATGTCAACTGCTGAAAATTTATTTTTTGTTTGCATTCATAATAAATATTACAATAATTTAGAACGACAATGATTATTTTGTATTCATGGAAGCACTACACGTTAACAAACAATACCTGACAAATCAACTTCGTTTCATTTTAATACTAGTCTAAACAGTTAGGATCTGATATATCGATTTATAAATCGAGTAGATTTAAAATGCATAGTATAAACGCGCCTTACGAATTGCCATTTTTTGCGGACGATCTCGATAACCAGAGTTGTATTTGTTATTATTACTTTTTTGCGTTATGTTATAATCTACACATTCGTACACTTTTGCTTGCCACTATATATATATATATATATATATATTTATAGTATGGAATATTTTAACAGCTCACGAGTTTTGAACTTGAAAGTTAAAATTTTTTTGAATAATAATTTTTATAATATGGAATATTTTAACATTTCGGGAGCTATGAAGATAAATATTAAAACCTTTTTTGAATATTCATAATCTTTTTGAAAATAAATCACTTTATTCGGCTTCAGTAGTCTTCTTCATGTTTAATAATGATGAAAGGTAAAGTGTTGTTGTACATCAAACTATCCACATAAATATTTGTTGATAGAAAGTAATACAAATATTCCCCGAAATTCAATTCGGAATATAAATAAACAAAACCCATCACATATATAAACCGGATTTCATCGCTGTTTTTTTAACTTTCAAGTCATGCCTTCAACACAAATAATACCAACTATAGATTCTCATTTCAATTTGTTTTGACTTCAACACAAATAATAACAACTGTAGATTCACGTTTTAATTTTTTGTAAATAAGATCGACGCACGTATTTCACTCGACAAAATGTTAGGCAATTATTTTAGCAAATGTAACAATTTTAGACTTACCAATATATAACTGCAGTGTGTACAAACGAAGGCGGTTATTATAGTTGCAAATATACCCATTACAATACCAGAGTACATAAAAGCAATGGGCATGGATAAAATACCTGTACCCAGGGAGGCTGTCAGCAAATGCGTTAGTGTTTCCCTGTCGCTATAAAACGAAATTTAAACATTTTTAAATTTAACCGCCAAAAGAGAAATTTTAGAACTTACGTTGTGGAATGTTCACTGGCACGTTCAGCAAATGGATCATAATCTTTACATGGTTGGATATTGCATCTGCAAAGAGAAATTAACAGAAATTACAAGATTAAACATGAACAAATTATTACAACCTCTTTCTCTGAGATGAGAAATGTGAAAGAAAAACACATGCCTTAATTCCATGGGCTCATTTTTAGTATCATTTGTTTTTGCCATATTTCCATATATTAATTTATTCCAATTTATGTCGAAGGCAAGCCAACTTTTTTAATAATCCAAAGCTTGCATAAATATCTACATCTATCTTCTCCAATGGCTAACGTGTCAGTGAAATTCTTTCGACAAGAGAATAAGCAGTATTGGCCCGATCTTTCTACTAACGAAACTCATTCATTGTCACAAGTTGAGACAAGTATTGATAATTAAATCAGCAGCATCAGTAGCAACAAAAGCATTGCTTGGCTACCCGCAAGAACTAGATCGAGGTTCTGGGACGGTCTCACGCCAGACACACCCACTTCGGCCGTCCCCGCGACTACATCTTCATGACAATAGTAGGGCATACACTTATGGAAAGTTGTAGAGAACTACAATCTGCAATAATATGCAGTCGGTAATATTTAAAAATTGATTCTACGAATATAATAAAAAATAGATTTAACCGATATTAATTAGAACCAGTTCAGGACCAGAAACTTTTCGATAGTATTATATTTTTCCAAGTTTACCATCATAAATCAAAGTCACTAGATTATTACCTGGTCTCCAGACCAGTTCCTACTGATGGAAAACAAACACACGTTTCTATGTTTGGATATATTTCAAATTTATATCTGAAAATTAACATTTCAAACATTTTACTCAAAAAAATTAAATTCAATATTTTGAATAATTGAAGATTATTTTTTTAATGTACACACACACGTGTATCGTATCACATGTCGTAATAAACAAAGGACCTCGCTTATACGGATTATCCGGTAATCCGGACTGCATTTCACAACTCATTGCGTATTCTATAATCCAGCTTTATTTAAGATATCTTTTAGTTTTGCAATGTTTCTATGTATTCTTTTGTTCCTTTTAATTTTATTTAAAAAACCATTACTATTGAAGACAAGAGAGCGAAGAATTCAGATCTTGAATAACAATCTACTACTATCGTCTCCAGTGGCTAAATTTGTAGTGGATTTTATTAATAAGAAAACAATCAGTATTGACCCGACTAACACCGAAAGAATTAAACGAATGATTGTTAACTAACGAACAACATTCAGTTGTTTTCACAACTTGAGCCAAATTTTGATGATCATCAACTCAGCAACAGTAGAGAGACAATATTAATTGCCTATAAAAAATAAGTAGATCGGAATTAGAAAATCGTCGATTATCATGGTAACAGTGACCAGTTCCACGTTAAGACTTTAACAATGCTTTCAACTTTTTGCTTTCACATGAAGATGTTATAGGTGGTAACCAATTGAAATACTCCGCATTACCCGATTATTGTATTATACTAGTTCCAAGTTTACCGTTATAGACCAGTGTCATTAGGCTTCTTCATGTTGATTATAAAATATTCGTTTTTAATGTGTAAATTATTTTAGAATTTACATATGAAAATAAAAATTAAAAAAACTAAAGAAATTAATTCAATATTTTTGAATAAAAACTCAATTTATATTCTTATTATTCCCAGCACATGTTTATATAGGATCATTTGAAACACAAAACAACAACAAAAATTAAAATGGAATTCGTCTATCTAAAATATTCAAATACATGCATATGTATCTAATAATAGACAAAAACACATTTGAATATATACAAAAAAAAATCAATATATATATATATACTATATAGTGAGTCTTTTTCCTTAATCGGAATAAAAGTATATGTCTATTAAGCCCTGTGTGTCTATCCTTCTGTTTAAAACATGATTAAGCTCCCAATATTTAAGATAGTGCTTTGGAATGAGGCTCATACATCTAGGATCTTTGGTATTGGAAATGAGATGAGATCCCGTTCGTCTGAGAGTAATTTCATTGTTATTTATTTATTCTCTACTGGACTGATAGAAACCTTTCATTAATATTTGTTAAAAAAAAATGTCGAATGAACATAGACACTTGTTGCGTATATTTATTTTATAGTTGACAGAAGAAGCCACTACCTACATAGCTGTTTTTTTGTTATTCGCCTCAAGTTGTCATTTCTTTAAAGTGGGATTGATTTATAAAAATCAGTTTCGAGTGTTTATTTCATAATTTCATACCTTCTTATCCTATAAATGGTCCGTTCCAAAACTGAAAGAATTTACTTGATCTTACTATTTTCTTCGGTATCATAAAGGAAAATAATAAATATCATAACCAAATAACATTCCTTAAGTTTCTGCAACTGGAAAGACTATTATACAGGTCATTTATGATCCGAATTGGAAGAAATTTGGTACAGCTCATATATTTGGTCCAATGACGCGCCTTATTGGAATGGTTGAATGGAGGTTTAGATTTAGATATAACCCCTATGTATTTCCTATTTTATTAATATTCCACCAAAGTCCCAATGTTTGTCTGACTGAGACGAAATTTTGTTCAGCGGACCAAATTGAGCCTGGCTCATAAAAAACGTACTTTGCCCATAACATCTTTCTTTCTACAAATGACATAACTTCTAGTAGAATGGGACATATTGGTCTACATTTTAGAAAACTCAACGGAAGTAACTGTAATTTGCATCGCTTTGGCTAATCAAATGTCCCTCCATATCTTTGATTAAATTTCTCCTAATCCTTGGAGGCATTATTTGTATTTTTGTTTGTTGCTGTAAAAACTGAAATAAGATGTAGTCAGGGCTGCCAGATTTTTTTTTGGGAAAATCGTCAAAATGACGATTTTTTTTATCAAAAATCGTCAAAAATTTAAATACGCACAGTTAGATATATTTAAATATTTTTTTTTATTAAAAGGAACATAAAAGCGGTATTCAATTTATTAAACACGTTTTTTAAGGCTAATCAAGAAATTCATTTATTTTATAAATAAATATTTGAATAGTCATTTCGACTTTAATAAAGTCATTAATTTTGAAAAGAAATATTTGTGTTAATCATTTTCAACATGTCGGTTTTAATTAACGTATCATAACAATTGGTTTTGTTAACTTTTAAATAATATTTGGTATAAATTTCTCCATTGGAGCCTTATTGAGGGTATTTGGACTTTTCGTTTTATTAAGATTTACTTGGCTGAAAACACGCTCAACATTTGCTGAGGAATGGGGTAATATCATTACCTTCCGTACAAATTTAGTTATAATAGGAAAATCATATGAACCATCACCACGTTTCAAATCAAATATTTCATTCCAAAAACGAAATAAATCGGTTTCATCATTTTCACAAATGTTAAACAACCTTAGTTCGCGAAATTCTGAATCCAATTTTTGTTTTTCATCTTCGTTCACAAAATGTGGATATTCTTTAAGGATATCGAAAAATTAATTATTCTTTTCATTACTAATATACGTGGGACTTATCATAGATACAATTTTAAAAATGCTTTCAAATCGAATCTTTTTAAAATTGTAATAACTTTGTATAAATTGAAACTTAAATTTAATATAAAAACTTTTCCGTTCACCAATTTTCTTCTATTTGTCCGTGTCAAAAAACAACAACCGTTAACTTTTATTTGTTTTGTTGCTGTCTACCCAGAGAACGGCACAGCTGATTGGTAGTTTTTCATATATCAGGGTAAACGTAAACTGTTGTTGGCTTTGTAACAATACAAAGTATACCTCACACACATATGCCAAATATTCATATTCTTTTTACTTTTTCTTTCGCTTTATACATTTTTGATGTTGCCATAACAAAAAGAACCCAAATATTGCAATATTACGAAAATGGCAAAAAATCGTCATTTTTTGGGCAAAAATCGTCAAATCGTCATTTTTCAATTTTTGACCAAAAAATCGTCAAAATGACGATAAATCGTCAAATCTGGCAGCCCTGGATGTAGTGCCACGAAATATTTGACCTAGTCGTACGGTTTTGTCATACCTTGAGTTGCTGAATCTATCTGGCTATATTTTCCCGTCAGTCTGTACAATTTTCTAGTGGCTTTGAAAGTTACCATTATGAACCGAACTCCACAACATTTTTATATTTGGAAGGACCTGAAGCATCATATTGTATACCCGTTCGACTATACTGCTTCTTAAACTATTTTATAACATTTATTTACCATTTTTTTATTGTTTTTCATTTGAAATTTAGTTTATTTTTATCTAGGGCGAATTAAAATAACAAAATTCTATTTGACATATAATATTACCATCAGCTGCCTGGATACGGTTACCTTATTAATCTACCTTGTACTTAGTTCCCCATACAAAATTATCTGAGCGAACACCGACTTTTGAACATTGTTCAATTCGAATCACTCTCTGAATAACGAATATATTTGCCCTAACAATTGAGAGAATTTATCGAAAATGAATTAATTTTGACTGTTTGAAAATATTTATAAAATTTTCAAACTTTTTTAGTAAAATTGAAAATGTTCAGAAAAAATGGAAAACATGAATTAAAAGTAAATAGATATGGGTTCATACTATAGTCAGGAGAAAGAGAATTAATTTTTTATTTAGATCCATATGTGATTCATGCAAATATGTTAGAATTTTGGTGTAAAACAAGAAACAAAAAGTTTGAAATAAAAAACTCTGATGACATGAATTATGAATAGTGTTGTATGAACGGGTTAATTCATGTACGTAATTCTGAGAGCGAACTACGTTTTCGAATGCCCGTCAGAACATGGCATTAGCGGACTAAAAAAACGAGAAATAAAATTAAATAATTTTAAAATGTTTTCAAATATTTCACATTCTTTTTGAAAAATGTAGTTTTTCTTTATGTTTCGTTTCTTTGAAAATTCATACGTCGTCGTATTTCGGTAACATTTATATAAATGGTAGTACGGGAACAGACCGGGGCAGAATAACGTCGAACGAGCTAATCGAAATTTACGTAGGCCTGTTAACATTGAAATTGTTCTAATATGTTTAATTAAAAAAAAAAACTGGCAATTCAAGTTTCATCATGGCGTCCCAATAAGCAAAACCGGTTATGAAATCCGCACACATTATGAAAAACCAGTTCGTTTTCGTAACTCAATAACGGCACATAAACTGACTCGTTACTTTTG